CATCATGCAGATAAAAGACAGGTCAAAGCTGTGATCTCGTATACTTATGACCTTTTACTGGCCATATCATGTTAGAGATGAAAGATGAAGGTGTTTTGAAAGACTGTACCTGCAGGTATGCAGAAATTGTGATGGGGGTTTAGAATAGGATGGAGGAGGGAAGAGTTGGTCTTCAATCTGCGGTTTGATCAGACATGGTGAGGTGATCAGGATGTGCTCTGAGGCCTTAAAACATCAAAGGCTTCATACTCACTTTGTAATATTCAAATTAGAAAGTTTAATGTACTTCAAGTCTAATTTTACCGAAGCCAGTTTTTACCAAAAAGACAGGAAAATAGGATTAACAAAACCTGATTAAGGGGTATGAAAAAATGTAAATGAGATGTTTTGCTCACAAAAAATCATATTGAATCTTTTTTATGAGGTATTAACTTATCAATAAAGTTGACTAAAACAATATTATAGGGTAGCAGGCTGTTATCGATATTATGAGATTTTTTCATCATGTAGAGATACTAAGAGAAGTTGATGTGAAGTAAAAAAAATCTTACTAAATTAGGAGAATAATAACACTAACTTCTGACGTATATTGATACCGTATCAGTATTGTAATGTTATAAATTGCCCTGCGATAGACTGGTGACTTGTCAAAGGTGCACTTGGTGTTTCGTCTTAGACTCATCTGGGATAGGCTCATATGAAAATGGATGGATATTACACAAAAGGAGAAGCACAGTTTCTACAAAATCCAAATTAGAAAAAAAGTTACATAAAACAAACAAACAAACAAAAAATACAAAGTAGAAAACAGTTTTAAAAAGGAACAAATGTATGAAGTAGGACAGATTTTCCATCTCTTTTTCTGCAACTGCAGAGCTGAATACAGCCTGTCCAGTAAGTGGTGCTGAGGGTGGTCGGGGTTTCCATGATGGATAACATTTGACTTCCTCTACACGACAGCCACAGTCATTTGGATGACCTTTGCATCAGCTGATGGAGGAATCCAAATAATGTATTGATTCAAACTGAATTCAGACTGAACCACATCCATCTGCACTTATTTATTTTCGGCATACTGCCAGAAATAAGTGCAGACTGAAATAGCCATCTGCTGTAGATAACCAGGTCCCTGACTGAATTATAGCCAGCTCTGAATATAAACTGCTTTCTGTTTCATAGTTTCTCTCCAAATCTTGAATAGAAACTCAAAAAACTATGATGGCAAGTCAAGATTGTAATATACTAATATAATAACATAAAAGATAAAATTAAGATAACAAAACAGTATAAATAAATTCTAGATAAAGTACCAAAAGTCCACATTTTAAATTTGAATATAACTTTGAGATGTTATACTTTACAGTTTTGTAGTATTCCCATTTTTTGTTTTCCCACTAATAATAATAATAATAATAATAGTAATAATAATAGTGTTACTGTTAATTTTTTTCTTCTGCACTTTCTGGTTTTTTTTTTTTTTGTTTCTTTTCATTGTAGAAACTGACCTCCATATAATTCCAGTAGAAGAAAACTATTCTAAGCCTTGGATCACAAAGATCATTGGTCAGGTAGCTAGAGACACGCATGGGTCAAACCAGACAGAAAACGGGAAAAAAGGTAAACAAGCAGACAAAGAAACATAAAACTTTTCTATGAAACGGATGAGACGTCGTCTGACTCCCTCCAGAGATGCGATATCTTCTCAAAGACAAGTTTTTTTTGTTCTCCGGATCAATAACCCCGCCCCTTCCATCTTCATCTCCTATCGCTGTAAATCTTTCCATCTTTGCTTTCGACCCAAAAGCAGACACAGACACCTCTGATGTGACCCCCGGCGGGCATTTCACACCTCTACTCCTGCTTGTCTGGTAAATATATCCACCTCTCTCTGAGCAGACGAGCCATGGGTCCCCCCACCTCCGCCCCCCATCCCTCTCTGACAAACCCCCTGAGGGTGAGCTAGGCACCGTGAAACTCTCTTTTATGGCTTTCTCCACTGTGGATGTGTAACCTTTGCTTCAGCTTTATAGTGCGGCAGCTCATTGTGTTTTTCCACATTTTTTTTTCTTTTTTTTTTTTCTGGAGCTCAGTTCAGTTTGGATTCGGTCTGACAGCAGCGTGCTGAGAAGTCATACAAACGCATTTGGTCGTGCTTCAGTTGGAAATGAAGCTGGCAGCAATTTCTCCACCAGACGTAGAGACATTCAGAGCCGCACAAGGTCAGTATTACTGTGAAAGCCGGACTGAAAAATACAGACTCAAACCCACTCTGGTGCCCGTCCAAGGTCAGTACACTCCACAAGTCTAGATGAAAATTGCTAAGCATATTTATATTTTTAGTTCCCTTCTTCCAGCTCTGGTGGGTGAAAAATGCAAAGATACAGGTGGTCAGGTTCAAATTGTATACGCAACCCAGTGTAAACGACATCTGACTGTTGTAGCCACACTTCTAAAAGATATTTTAAAAAATGGCAAAACAAGCTCATATTGAAAGGAAAAATAAGCTAATTGAAAGATCGGTGGTGTAGCAATCTCTGCTTACACTTATTACAGTATAACTGTGCTAGCAGTATAAATCAGCTTCACTCATTTGCAAAAATTGTAGAAAACCAGATAATTGGTCAACTCCTCCATTGATCAAACACAGTTAGATCAGAGAGCCAGGCCAGCACTGAGCCAGCACTGTCAACTTTTGTTGACAGTGTGCACATTTTGACACCAATTTTGTTTCTTTCAACAGCCAGCATGACTGCAGTGTTTCTCTAATCCCAAAAGAGTTATACTTCCAAAGCCAGTTTTGCTTTTATAATGTGATAAAAAGGACTTTGCTGCCTTCTTTACAAATAGTGTATATTCTTTGTTGAGCGTGTGGACAGTTGGTGTCGTACTTCTGTTGTTCGTACAATTACCTGTTTTCCCATTTTGTGCTTTAATAAATTACTGAGTACACAGTATAACGTGAAGTTTTCTACACCGTTAATTTTTAAAGTCGTTTAAAACTTGGCAGTCTCCGGTGTAATCCACTCCTATCGAAGATGTTCCAGGTGTTGTTTCTCAGGGAGCAGAATAGATGTATCGATCAAGTGAAGTGAAGTAGTGCAGGGCAGCGAATGGAGGAGGGGGCTATGGGTGGAAGAAGCTTCAGGATGTCTTCAGATATGAGGAGGCTATTCAGGGACTCAGGGATGAGAAAAAAAAATGTCTTTGGTCTCCAGTTTTTTTCTTTTCATCACCTTCGCTTTGTAGTGCGTATGGGGGGATCTTTCAATTTCCTGTTTGTATTGTGGAGACAGCAGTTACATGTATTTATTGATATATTTTGTCTTTTATTCATTAGTTTTTCTTCTGCTTGAATGCCAGTTTTATTTTGTTCCTAGTTGCTTTCTTTCTTTGTTAGTTGACTTTGTGGTCCATTCCAAGTATTTCTATGTTTCATTTTTATTGACTAAGAGCGATGGAGGCCAAATGGACTATACAAATTTGAAAGTGTTAGATGAATGGGTGGATGGATTTTCATGCAGATTAGTGAATGGCTCAGACTCTAAATCTGTTTGCAGTCTGATGGCTCACTTAGTTACATGTGAATTTGTCATTTAGAGCAATCAATAGGAGCTCTGTGTTATCAGGTCAAACTACAGACTACATGGAGGTCAGTATTAAATAGCAATTTTCAGGAAACAAGCCATTCTTCAAAACAAGGCCTGGCCTGATTATCTATTAATAAAATTTCACTTTGTGGAACAGCTCAATAGTAACTGCAGGCCACAGAGCCTCAGGCAACCGGATTTGTAGCCAAAAGAGGAGAAAGAGCATTAGAACCTTTAATTGCTTTGACTAAGACTTTTGAAGTCTGTAGTACCCCCTGGTGGCCTGCCCCGTTAGCAGTTCTAGGTACTACCAGAGGATAAGTACCCACTTGGGATATCCCCAGGAAGTCAATAACTTCCGAGCCATTTTTCCGTTTGCATAAATGCCTCTAATATTTTTAGGCAGCTGTAGCTTAGGAGGAAGAAGGGGAAGGCCAGTAATTGGAAAGTTGGCAGTCCCCATGTTGAAGTGTCCTTGGGTAAGATATTGAACCCGAATGTGCCTTCACTGCATCCATCAGTGTGGGATCATTTTATTCTCTGTGAGCATTCATACTACACACACATAATAAAGTGCTGTGGATGTGTGTGTGAATAGATGAGTGTGGTTTGTAGATAAAAGTGTGTTGAGTGTCCAACAAGAAAAAGTACCATGCAAGTACTCATCCATTTTAGAGGAACTCTAAAGTGATGCAATACCTGGCCAGCAGTCGGTAATACAAAGGTAACTCTTGTGGTCCTTTCTTTTTTTCTTGTCATCTTGTTTCAATCTTTGTTTTTTGTCTGCAGTTATTTGTTTTGCTTCTTTGTGGTGGATTCCTAGTAGCAAGTCGAAGGGAAATACTACCAAAGATTTTTTATGTTTCATTCAGTGTTTCCCATCAACACTGTTGAAATGGGTTTCTTCTGAAAACAAACCAGATGAAAATTCCACAGGCAAGTTAAAGCATATTTCTGTCAACAAGGTCAGCGTGCACATCCATCTCTGTTTGCAAGAACCAGCAGTTGTCACCCATCCGGCCCGGATTATACTTTCCCAGATATTGTTTTTTCCAAACAGATGGATTTTTCCTCTATATCTTGATAAAAACCTTCCCCCATCCTCATCGCTGACATCACCCACATTTGGTGGAAAAAACCCTCAAAATGAGAATGTAAAACAGGCCGTATACAGTGACACTCTAGCACTCATTAGCTCATGCGCTTTCAGTACGTCATCGACAAGCACAGCATTCATTAAGTTCAGTTCAGTCATCCTAGTTGTTGTTGGAACATCATAACTTAGAAAAGTGGACACTACATGAAAAACATTTTCAAATTTGATGTCAGCAAGTAAAAGTTGAAAAAAAACCCAACAACCCCAAATCCCAGGAGCAAACACTTGTTGAAAAAAAACTTCATCTGTGTCTCCAGGTGCGAGCCTCCCGAAGCCCCAGGTGAAGACGGCCTCTCTGGGTCAGGCCGGTAAGGCTCGCTCTCCCCTGCTGCCTGTCTCAGTGCCCACGGCGCCGGACTTACCAGAAGAGGGAGGAACAAAACCCGCGGAGGATTCAGCTGCCAACGTAAGTCTGCATTGTGAGCATGTTGTAGCGGGCGTTGCTGATTGATGTTTTGCACTACACCGACATCACAGAGGCGATGTCCTTGTTACACATTGTTTCTGTGGGCCTTTAGTCATAGAAACAATGAATGTCTTTGTCTTTATGTTAAATGCAGTTGCAGCATTGATTTAAAACTGTTTAGACAGCTGTGTGTTCTATGTGTTGTTATAGAAACCATGAATCACAAATAGTTACTCCAGCAATTGGTTGTATCAACTGGTGTTCTGCTGCTCAGAACTGTTTGAGGTCATCTACTGAAAAATCCTCTTAGAGGTTTCTTTGAATTACTGATTTTGGTCCTTACTGTTCCTAAATATCTTTTGGATTGAGGAACCTTTGAGAAAAGATGGATACACAACCCCCTCATGAAAAAGGAGGCCTCGGAGTGGCTAAAAGTTAATGTAAACTGCTAAAATATTGTGCTAAAAATACTCAATGAACACCTACACTTTAGAAGAATACATTTAAAATATTATAAGTTATATTTTGCGCTTCAAACCTTTTTTTCCGAGGTGTATCCTTATATTTAACAATATTATACTGAAAAGCTCATATTTTTTACAGAACAGTATTGTTATTTTACTGTTGTTGTAGATTAGAGGAAGTTCAGTGTAAAGTAATAGTTAAAAGCTATCAAACCTAGCAACCTGGAATTTTACAGCAACTTTTTAACAGTGTAATGCTAGATTCAGGTGCCAGTTTCTCCTATACTACTTCAAGTAATATTTTATTGTTTCTGTGGTAGTGATTTGTTTGAAATTGACTGAAGTAACTTCTTTGAAAGATTAAATATTACAAGCCAGTTATTTTAAATGAGCTGTAGTTTCAGTATAGTAATGTGGTATATAGTAGCGGCAGCTGCAGTAAAAGTAGTACGGATTTGATATTTGGCATCTAGGCTCCATGAGGAAATACATACCTCAGCAGGGAGTGAGCAGAGAATCGGGAGTGATGATAATAACTTCCCCCCCTAGGGGAATGTTGACTCAGAGCCTACAGGTGGATGTTTGCAGAGGTGGTTTTTGAAATGCTACGTGCACAGCATCAGCAGTGAGTGGCAGCAAAGCTTTCAGATGAGCTGAGTGAGCAGAGCGCCGACCGCTTCGGTGCTTCAGCATGTGAAGTAGGTGTGACTGATATGTACTGATATGCACTTTGCACATTGTGTCCTACCTATATTTTACACTCCACCCCTCCGCTCATAATCGCTACATATTTCTTTTTGTCTCATTTGTATTCTGTATCTGTCAGTAGTTGGCATAAACCCCTTTTGTGTGTATCTATTTTTTATATTTCTGTGCCACTGTTTTTTGCCCCATGGCACAACAACAAATTCCTCGTTTGTTTACAATAAAAGTGATTCTGATGTTTCATTGCGGAGAAAAGCACATTTATGGCAACAAGTACAATGTGTCATCAATATTATCATTACAGAGACTGTAAATTGCAATAGAGCTGATATCTTCACATAGTTTAGGAAAGAAACTGAATTCAGGGTACGTCGATGAGGAGATGCTGTTGTATTTTATAGTAAGAAACTGTTTATGGGGATTTTGTTAGAACTCCTAAAATGACAGTAAAACTGCAGTGAAATAGCTTCATAGCAAGTTAATAGTCTACACAGTACAGCAGCGTCATTTTTAGCAGTTTGTAACCACAAATATTTTGCGTAATTTCTTGCTTTTGTGGAGATCTTCCATCTTCTCAGAGTGCATCAACAGCCAATATAATGTGCCGTTAAAATGAACAGTAAGACTTGTTATAACATATAGAAAATCCTACACATAAAGATTAAATAAACTAAGCACATATGTAAACTTGCACTATTTCTCCTATAGAACAGCAGCTGTATGGCGTCTTGCTATAGTAGACGTAATAAAAATGTGCTTGCTGAGGTTCTCTGTTGCCTATCTTCTGGTCCACACCGACATCATAGCGTCTTTTTTAAACAACGGGAGGTTTGTGCAGGGTTATTGTGTCCTGAGTGTGTTTCTTTATTATTGCAGATAGGAAGTGTCAGTAATGTTCACAGAGCGACAAATAATTATATAAAGTTCACATAGTAACACGGTGACAGAATCCCTTAAAATTAATCAGTGAAATGTGATGAGTAAGTAATAGTTAGCACAATTAGCACTGAAAAAAAGGACACGCCTTCAATGTAACAACAATAAAAGTTTGAGTCAGATGATCACATTTAATTTAATTAATTTCATTTAAAGTGTTTCTATTATCTTAACCTTAACTGCTATATTCATGTAATTAATTATGTATTCATCCAAGCATCTTATTTTCTCTTGATATGGCACAATAACACTTAATTAAAATGCACTGATGAAAGATACATATTCAATAATAAATTAATTCCTAAAATAGGAAATTATAGTGTACGACAAATGAATGATGATTTGTGGTAAAGCACAACTTGTGTAGTTGTGCTTTGCTTTATTAGACATAAAAAATGTGGTTGCTGGCATTCTCTGTTGCCTTCAGATCTGATATTGGTCCACACACACGACATGATAGCGTCACCACATCTGATCTGGTGACTCCTGAGAGCATTTGACTTCAGTTAACTCATGATCATGTTCAAGAAAGCAGTTATTTGTTTGTTTTTTTTAACTTGATGGCATGCTCCATTATTCTGCTGAAAAGAGGTCTTAAAGGCATGGACATGGTCAGCAAGAATACTCAGGCAGCATTCCAAGAAAATATCCCCCACACAATTACACAACCAGCAGCAACCTGAAAACAAAACGCAAGCTACAGGATGGTATGTAACAAACCACAAAACATGTTTCTGAGATAGTTCTTTTTTTTTTTTTTTTTGCCTGTCCTGTTTGGATCTTTAGCCATCAGAATTGTTGTCTGAAGGCCAAGAAAGATGCCAAGTGGATTTACTTTACCAAGTGGATCAT